GTAACATCCATGGCAGAAGCAAAAATGTGCAAAAATTAATTGCTGCGCATAAATCAAAAGACTTTGCTCCCGTCGCCTCCCACCTTCCACCGCCCACTTTTCTCTACCCACTTTTCCAACTCCCCTCGAATTTCGGTCTGGCAGTCAACCTCCCTCTACTCCTCCCCTTCTTGATCACTTGTTACTATTTCTGATTTCCATCAGCACTCTTATTATGGCAAAGAGCGATATATATAGTGTACATATAGCATACCTATATCTCGAGATGCAATTTTAAGCCTCATTGTCTTCGGTTTTCACTGGTGCAACGAAGGCATCAAGGCCACAATGCACCGCCCATTCAACTCCCCCTTTTTCGCGAAGGTGATTCGATGGAATCGCCGAGGAAACTCTGCCACTGAAAACAAAAACGAATTGCGAATTGCAAACTGCGTAAGGCGAAAGACAACAGCAGCTGTTTTCGCATCGCCTTGATTACCGGAAGTTTTTTTTGCCATAAAATCGCGCGAGAGGAGGAAAACGCAATGCAGCGACCATGACAGAACCATAAAGGAGATATAGTAAGATATATCCACCTCCTCGATTTGCCAGCGCACACAGATCTTCATCATTATGGTCGTCGTTATTGTTTTAATGGCAATCGTTTAAACACACGCCTGATGGATGTGTTTTTTTTACGACTGTCAAGCTGCTCGTCTCTTCATTTACCAATTGACTGACTGACTGATGCGCATTGGGCCAATAACTCAGCGCTTTGTTGCCGCCATTTCCACGGGCTTTATTGATAAAGTCCACTTTGTTCCCCGCTTGGCCATATTTCATTCAATTAGAGAAGCTCTACTGTGTTTTCATTGTACTTATCGCAGATCGTTGCGAAAATTGCAAGCAATTGCAATGCAATGGAAAATCAATTTAAATTTTTATCATGGAACACTTTGTATTTAGTGTTTTATTTATACCAGTTGATAAAACCAAGAAACCCATAATCATACTAGCAATTCATTATAAAATAATTCATTTATATAAAGAACATATTTCTGTTGGAATTACAATGTTTAAAATACAATATATTGAAGAAATTTAAGTACGAAATATATTTTGTATTGAAGAAATATTTATTTTGTAATAAAAATTTCATGCACTATGTGTTTATCCAATTTGAGCAGCTTTCTCCTGAGAATCCAAACAGATAATTGTTAAAGCCAACACAAAGCGCTGCTCACAAAAATTGGAATCTCAATGAAGTCGGCGAATATGGCTACCTATTATATTATCCATCCAACTCGAAAAACCTTTCGGCATTCCATTCGTGCATTCGACCTTATTTCTTGGCGTTTCAACTCCAGTTCATCAGCCAGTTGTAAAGTTCCCCCTCCCTCATTTCCCCTTTATTTTCCCATCGATTTGTGGCTGCCACACGATAAACATTTTTATGCGGATCATAATTCCCGGCACTCTTGTCAACTTGGCAAGGCCAAGTTGGCCTCTCTGATTGCTGATGTGTGTGTGTGTGTGTGTATTTGTTGTGTGTGCGGTTTCTGTTGGCTTCAGCCATCCCACTAAATTGAAGAACAAACAACGTCTCGTCGTTCCATACTGCATACCGAATATCGCGTATACGTCATAGGTGCCGCCCATAAAAAGTAACCAAGCGTGGAAGAAAAAAAAGCAGAGCGGACCGTAAATAATGCACCGGCGATTTATCAGCGGTAGACAGTCCAAGTTCCAGTCTCAGTTTCAGTTTCAGTTGCAATTTCAGTTGCATTTGCAGTTGCAGTTGCATTCATCGGTGGCATGTCGGTGAGGCAAGGTCCAAACACCAGAGTTTTCCTAGTGCGGTGGCTATTCAAATGCAGTTACGCAATAGTGCCAAAAAATCAGAAAACAAAAATACTAGTCATAATTCTATGACCAAGTGTTTCAGCTATGATTTATTTAACCTTTTTAAAATGTTGAAACATTCGCACTGGGCCTATGGAATAACAAGTTTCATTTGTCATTTTTATTTTTTAGTTTGAAGCTTTATGTTTATGAAGAAAATCTCCGACTCTATAAAAAACATTCTTATCAAAAAGGGTTTCTTACATGGAGCACAAATCAATTTCCATGATTTGATTTGTGTTTCTTTGTTAAATAAGAGGTTATATATATAGTTTCTAAAGGTTTGTTGTATCATATAAAAATAATTAAAGATATGTAACGATAAAACTGTATCACTGAATCGGTAGAATATGGTTAGGAAATAGTTAAGTATAATAATAAAAGTCAAACGTTTATATTGATGAATGATTTAACACTTGTACCATCCATATTTTGTAATACTTTAAAGCTCTACCGACTAACTTTTCAAAAACATTCAAACGAAGCGCCATAAAAATCTCTAGAGTTATAGAACGAGAAAGGGAGGTATTTTTCGGTGTGTGGGGTTGAACATTCCAGACCGAACTGGTCTGCTGGAATTTGGCTCTTTTTTTTGTGTAGTCTGTTTGAAAACCCAGGCCACGATCCATCCGTTTGCTGGGTTTGCTGGGTTTGTTGGCTTAGCCCCACTAAGCCCCACACTAATTACACTTGCGCTTTTTACAGATCCGCACACATAAACTCTGCTAACATGACTACCACATTTTTCTTGGCCGGGTCGGAAAAACCCCGACATATTTTCATTTTCATGGTCAGAGTGTCAGTCGAAATGGTTGTGAGCGAGTGGAAATTTTTAAATGAGAGTTAGGATCCGTGCAACTGCGGTGCAAAATATGCAAATGAAAGCTGCTGTCGCCACATCCGGTTCTTCTTCTTCCACCCTTCTTATTTTCCATTTTGGCCAAATGGCCGAAAGTAAGACCCGCAAATCTTGATTTAATTTCCGGCTATTAGGCTGGCATGAAAAACTCTCGGCTTGCAAATAGTTGTGGCCAGAAAAGGGAAAATTCCGGAGCAGCTCATTAGGATCACAAAGGAGTCACGTATTCGTTGGGTTTCTAGTTGGAAAATGCCAAGCAGTGGATTTTATTTGATAGCCTTTAATTAGTTGATATTATGCGAAAAATTAACAGAAAATTTTACTAAGAAACTGCGAATAAGAACTTAAAACTTGTGTGCTTGTATACTAAATTTTAAAGCTAAGAAAGGTTGTTAAATTACTTAATCTAAATATATCAACAATTATTATACACAATAAAGAAACCCCTTTTGGTAATCGAATAATATTGTATGAAGTTTAGTTAGAAACGAAAGCATATTGTAAGCACAAAGATAAAGTACTTAAACCTCCAACGCAAACCAATTTACCGAAGCATTTCCTTTGTTTCTTTAAGAACCCCTTAATACAAATTCCTTATCTAGCGTGTGTAGAACGGATTTCACTTTGTTATCTCCTTGCCGATAAAAACGGAGAGGAGAAATTCGTGTTTGTGGACGCTTTAAGCCAAGTAATCGCAATTGCAGGACTCGCACCTCGTCCTCGCAGGAGCCATCTATCCACGGCTTTATGACTCTGCCAATGAATGGACACATCCTGTCCTTCCTGTGCCTCCTGTTCCTCCTGTTCCTCCTGGCCAAGGACCCTCGGTGGCCTTTCACCTTTCCGGCCACTCTATTATTTATTTATAGAAAGTTGGCAGACTCACGCCTGAGGGCCAAGAATTCGGTCCTTTGCTGCTTGGCCGCCTCCATTCAGTGACAAATGAATTTGGGTCAAAAGTTGTGCAAATTAAAAAAAAAAAAAAAAAACAAGAAAAAGAACCACACAGGTCTAAGGAAGGCTTCTTCCTGTGGCGGATGTCAAAGTTCCTTCAAACAGGACCTAAAGATTCGTCTCGCCTTTGACTCGCCCGAGTGACATTCAACTGGTCCAAAGTGCTGGGCCGAATTGCAGTTTTATTTCCCTTCACGTAGCTCCACACACACAAAAGCCTGTCCTTTTACCAAAAAACTTAGGAAGTATTTAGTCGACTAACTGGTACCCATTACTATTAAAAAAATATACAACTGCCCAGAAGAACTTGTTGCATGAAATGTAACTTTTAGAGAATTTATAGTTCTTTCAAAATTCTTAAGTGAAAGTTGATTTAATGGTTCCTGCTGATCAATTAAATATTCTTCATATTATTAACATTTTTCCTAATCTGAAATGTAATTTCCAGAAAGTTACTAGCTCTTTAAAAAGAAACTTTAAGAGTGAGTTTATTTAATGGTTGCATCTGATCAATGAAACATTATTTATATTCTTTTTATTTTCTCAAACCCATCATACCCTTTCCCTCCAAAAATAAAAGGGTATAGAGAACACATAAAAAGGGGACACCAAAACGTTACAAAAGATTTACACCATCGAAACCTCAACCATCTCAAACCATCTGAAACCATTTGAAACCATTTGAAACCTTCTCCAGAACCGGAGATTCGACGCCTCCTTTTTTCTTCGTGGGCAATGCCATTACTTTTTCAGTTTGCTGGTTTGAGTAATGGATTAGATTTTTACTCACTTGTTTTGGGTTTCCCCAGCCTTTCCTTTCGGGTGATAGTGTGTTCCTTTTTTATAGCCCCCCGAAAAAGGATATCACGCCGTTGATGAAGGAATGCAGGGGAGCAAACTTAAAAGAACTTACAACTCGGACTTACCTAAGAACTTTGCTCGAAGGATTTGAAAATGCGGAAGGGGAAACCCAGAAGTATTCTTAAAGTTTGAAGAAATGATTTCTGTTGCAAAAGAAATCTTTCAAGAGATTGATTGTATTGAGGGTCATCTATTGCATCTATTTGTTTAAATTAAAAAACTTTAAATATGATTTCAATAAGCAGAAGTTTTGCCAACGATTTGTTGTGCTTATAATTATTTGTTTAGAAACAAGTTAAAACTTATCTGATTTGTTTGTTAATGGTATAATCATAAAACTCAAAAAACAATCTTACAGTTTCGGTATTTGGTAGCTTCTTAACGGCTGCTATATTCCTTAAATTTAATTTTCTGAGATTTTTGAAGCGATTTTCAATAGCGCAGTAGCATTTGCGTAAACTGTTTGTTGTGTTGACTTTATCAAGCAGAACGTGTTGAAAGTGAGTTGAAATATCTTGTTAGTTTCTGTTTTATTTTCGGTTTTTCCCTTTTTGTTCACTTAATAAGAATGTTATTCTGAATAGTTGCGAAGCCAAGATGTTCACCACTTTGATGGCGCGAACTGCGGCCCTTTCGATGACCGTCTACTTGACCAGTCGCATTGGAGTTTGGGGCAAAACGGAGGAGAGCGACCGCCTTTTGCGGCAGGTGACCACGGGTCTCCATCCACTGACTGGTTTTCTGCGACGAGTGCTGCCCTTCGAGCAGAGCGACCTCAGCGTGGGCCAACTGGCCAGGGAGTACTACAATCAGGGGGTCAAGGGCACCTTCTATATCATCCGGAATATACCCAACTATTCCGGAGATCTGGCCGAAAATGCCAAGCTCGGTTACTATGATTTGGTTCAGAAAAGCCAGGAGTTGCGTCACCAAAACATTGGCTGGTTAAACACTTCCAAGGATATTGGAAAACCGAAGGATCAGCTCAAGGATCCTGCTGCCGGAGATGGACTTTCCAAGGAGTTCGTCGTTATCGAGAGACCGGGGATTATAGAAGAGTTTTCGGGGGATGGCAAAGTTGTTCTTAAACACAGTGCAGAGTAGGAGATTGAAAACACGAAAAAAAAACAATATGAAGCCACAAAAAGTCTTGCCCTTTGCCAAATCAAATTGTTAAATCCTTGGGTAAAGAAGTATTTAAATCGGATTTGAACTTTCTATTAAGCAATACTAAAAAAAATACACTTAAAACAAAACTTAATAAAGCAATTGCAGCAGAAAAGGTTTTATAATTCAATTGGGATGATCGAATGCTTAACCATATTTTATAAAACCAAAATGTATATTTATTTATTTTTATCTAATTGTTTTATTGGTTTAATTTTTTATTTATTCAAGAATGAGTAAAATGAACCACTTTTTTTGTAGACAAAGTTAGAGCAACTGTAGTTACTATCGTTTTTTTCGCTTTTTTTTTTTTTTTTTTTTGATACTGCTCCCACTCGCAGACACTTGGTAAACAGCGAAAATAGTCAACAGTCTATTAAAATGCCAGTCGAGCCGCATTGCCAACCGAAGTCAAGCCGTGCGAAAAAGGATTTTCCAACCCCCTCGAAAAGGAAAACTGAAGCGAAGCGAACCAAATCAATCCAGCGAAACACCGAACCCTTTTCCCATTTCCCCATTTCCCATTTCCTTTATCCAGTTGTTCTGCGTGTTGCTTAACATGGCTTTTAATGTGACCCTTGCGGCCCCATAAAAATTGAGCTTTTCCACCTATGAAAATCCCCATCGATGCAGGACATCTTTTCATTCCTTTCGTTCCTGGGATTCTTCCATTGTTTTGTACCAGTTGCTTTTAGAATAACAGAGTTATTTGATATATACAAATGAAAGTAACACATTGTATAAAATCTTATCATATTGGATTGCCTAATTTAATTGCTCTAAGATCTTTTTAAGTTCTGCACCAAATTTAAATAAAACCAAAAGCTGTTCAAGCATGCAACATATTTGCAAAGAGTAAATATTCTTTATTGGTTTCGATTGATTTTCGTCTTTATTGTTGAATGGCAAACAGTGGTTCCCCGGTGGTTGGGTCATAAAAACGGTGACTACAGGTGGTGGATATAGTCGATTCGGAAGGGTGGCGAATCCCTTCTTCAAGTGGAGGGAAATAAACATTATAAACAGCTTCAGGCTATTGACACTCAAAAAAGAAGAAGGAACAAAATACCTGGTGATTGGAAAACTAGCTTACAGAATATTTAACACGAATTTAAATAAGTGTGAGCTTATTTTCCAGATAAATAATGTATTTCAGTTAAAAAATACATTTTAAAACTTCCTGGAAATGAAAATCTATCCTGTGTTCATTCCCCTAAAATTTCTTCTACATCTTTTAACAAATTCAATTCATTGTATCGCAAATATTTAAGGAATATCCATTGCATTGTTGTCCAAAGCATAATCCGCGTTGTATCTATTTACATATTTATCTGCGTTCTGCGGGATTCATTTCTCTGACTCCTGACGGAGGACGCCGAAAAGGTTACAAAACACTGGGAAAAAGGATACAAAGGAGGAGCTGGAAGGATAAGGGGCTACGTGCCGCGTCTTTTGGCTGACTCTTTAACCGCTTATGCCTTAGATTTATAGTCACGGATTTTATTTATGTCACTTTCCCCATCCCCTCCGCCGCTGCCACCATTTTTCTTTGCGGTTTAGCATACAAAACGTCTGCTCCTTTTCGTCCTGCCACATTCTATTTCCTCGCCGCTCCTCTAAGCGTTGCATAAAATCAATTTCCTTAAGTTCAAGTCCTTGATGATGAGGTAAAAGTGTTGTAAGTTTATGCTGCTCTAAAGCGTGGGCTTTCGTGTGGTGCACTGATAAAAATACGAGGTGGTTTTTAATGGAAAAGAGGTTTTAAACTTGACTCTTTCATTGCTTTCTATCATTACTCATCTTGAATTTAAAATGATCTAAAATAAATTGTTAAAATGATATAATATAGATTTTCAAGGGCTACTCTTACATCTAAAGTAAGATAAAGTTTAATAAACATTTCTGAGAAAATATGTCTCAAATTTTATATCAGTAAAATGTTTGTATAAAGAAAAGCAAGAGTAGAATTATATAATTTAATTGAATTTAATGCCTTAAAAAACATTTTTACTGAGCATAAATGTTTTTCCTAAGTTTACAATATATCTTTGCTTTTCTGATTCTGATTCTGGGGTGAGCATTTTGGGCAGTGTTTTACGGGTGTGAATGTTAGTCAGACCTTGTCGCTGTTGTCGGCACAGCTGGCGCTGAAGTTCTCGGGGGTTCGGGGTCTTGGGGTCCTGGATTCCTGGAGTCCTGGGAAAGAACAGGGAGCCAACGGGGGGTGGAGCTGGGGGTGGCACATTTGGCGCCCAGTCGAGCGCTGTCTTGCATATTTAAGTTGGTCGAACGTCCCCCCTCCATCTTCAGTTTGCCTCTGGTTCTTGGGGAGAAGCCAGAATTCAGGGATCCCATTCCACGTCCGGTTCGCTGCGATGTTTCCGTTTAGTTGTTTTCCTCGATTACCTGAATGCCGGCGTTCTCATCCGAGGAGCGGCTTCATTAGCCAAGTCCTCCTTCTACTACTAAACATACATTCATTTTGGCCACTGCACTCATTTCCGCTCACTTTCGATTCCGTCCTGGAATTGGAGTCGCTTATTAATGAACCGACTGGATGATGCCGGGTATCCATTTTACGTTTTCCGGATCTGCCAACACTTCCAGTTTCATCCTCCTCGGCGCCGTGAATATTTTGTGCTAATTTCCGTTTAATTGTTTAATATGTTGTTTGCATTTTCTATTAGCCAAAGTTTCCGCCGTTCATTGTTCTGGCAATTATTGTCTTCCTTTTTCCGGCTTTTCCCACTCGGAGTGACCTGTCTGCCCGAAAGGAGAGCTTCCCAGAGTGCCAGACTCAAAGGATCCAATCGAGTTAATGGCCAAAATTAACTGTCAGCCTCTCGAGTGCGGTTCAACTGGGGGTTTCCGAATAAGTGGCTCTTAAACTTGAGTTCTGCGACGAGCGTGTTAATGTGAATTATCATAGATACACTCGTATTTAGCTAAATAATTGCATTAGAAGGGTGGAAGTTCAAAGATATTACAATGGCACTTCCACAGCAAACAGGTTAAAGTTCAACGGAATAACGAGGACTTGTTTAGCGTTTGTATTTTATCCTATTTAATTATAAATGGGTTCCAAAATACAAAGCAATATTGAGTTGTATAAAAACATATTTATAAAATAGTTAATTTAAATATTTGGACTTCTATCTCCAATTATAAGATTATACATTCGGTCAGCTGCAGTTTATTTACCAGTAAAAGTATTACTATTGTAAATCATAAATTATATTTCAGAAAGCAAAAGAGTATTTAAGCTGTTACTTTTCTTCAACATAGGTATCCTTCAATTCGGAATGTCATTCGTAGTAAAAAACTAATAACTTTTTTGAGGACTTCCCACACAAACTATGAGTGTGTTCTGATTAGAAATAAGTTAACTCTGAAATCGATCCCTTCCCCAAAAATGAAACTCCCATGGGAGTTGCTCTCCCCGTTGGCAGCTGTTGTTGCTTAACCATCTCCGTGGCATTCGTGGGTCTTGGCCACAGTTAAGACCTCATTTGCATACAGGCCCCGCACTCCACTGCCAATTTAAATCATTTTAATGGCCCAGAAGCGAAGGCAGCTCAGCTAATTCTCGAGACAACTCGTAAGTCCGTTCAAATCCCAGTGCCATAAATGTGGCGCTGGATTAGCGCAGTCGGGAAATGGAAAATGTGGGGAGGAAAAGAGTACATATATAAATATAGGGTATCTCAGCTGCAAAGTCGCCGGAGAAAGACAGCCAAGAGACAATGGAAGCCGCAGCCTCCTTTCTGCAAAATTCCAACTTCGAATCTCCAGTCCTCACTTTCAATTATTCGCTTTCGCTGTTCTTGTTTCGGTTTTTCCCCCACCTGCTCACAAATTTTCCCCGGCAGTCGTAATAGAATAAAGTTTGCACCATGGGAATTTCGACTGTTGTTTTTCCGCATTTCCCACCTGACCGACTCCCCACGTTCGAATTCAAGTTGGAAAACCCACGCGAACATCGCCTTCTCCGCCCACGGAGACCGAGGACATAAAAAGTACATAGATCTCCGTCTGCCGGGGAGCTTCTTCAGCTTGTTGCGAACTTGTAATCCACTCAGCTTCCCCACCCTCTTTTTTACATCCCCCTCCCTTTTTTTGAAGTGTACGATACATCCATTTCTAAGGAGAAAAGTGCCGGCGCTTCAGAATGACTTTTAATTATTAAACTCGAATTGTTCCCAAGGTAAAAGTGACACAATGAATGAATTTAAATCGCTGCAGAAAGATTAATTAATTTGATAGTCATTTAAAGTTTTTTCAAGGTGACTTAAAAATTATAAAGGTAGAATTCTGAAAAAATATAATTAATGCAGAAACTTAAAAGCGTTTGGTCAGTGAATTTAAAATAATATTTAAATTTACTTAATTTTTAAAACGTTTAGGCATTTTCTCATGAGATATTTTTAAGAAATAGTTTTGTTTTTCATTAGTTTGGAATACTTAAATACTATTTTCGATCTTAAATAAATAACTTAATTAATTACGTTCTAATTGATGTACTCACTGCGTATTAACCTCGATGCATTGCATTCTGATTTCCAAGTGAAATTCAAATTATGTCACCAATTATTTTCTGGAACCACTTAAACACACACAGCCAAAAACCTGAAAAAATAGAAAAAAAACCAATTAATTTATATGTTGTATTAGATTTGCAAAGGGCTAGGACAATTTTTGTTCACCTTTACAACAGGTAACGTAAGGAAATTTTTAAAAAAGAATGGTACTCACCTCTTCAGGCTTTGATGCACTGCATCCTGGAGTCCACTTCAAGTAAAGAGGTATCAGCATACACCACCTGCAACAAAAAAAAAGATTTTAAATTAGTAATTTAAGTATTTAATTTAATTTATTAACTCCTAAGGTGCATACCTAACAAGGAGACGATGCACTGCATCCTGAAGTGGAGTCCAGTAGAAGGCATCGGCTGGACATTAGCAGGAACCACTTTACAAACACACACACGCAGTCAAAAACCTGAAATTAAATAAATTAAATATTTAATTAGGATATTGTAAATCATATTTAAATGGCCACGTCAGTAGTTAATTTCTAAAAGTGCTACTCACCTCATTGGGCTTTGATGCACTGCAT